AGACAAGGCGCTGCAGCACTCATCAGCTCAGAAATGAAGTCATCTTGAATCCAAGCCTTCCCCTCTGCACCCTGACTGTCCCCCCAAACCGAGACCAGCCCCGCTCAGGTCATGGGCAACAAAACAGGTGAGCTTACAGTGCTGTGAAGGTAACAACTGACACCTAACGAATATTTATGCTAATGAGCGCACCTCAGGATAAATCTACGCACTTGCTAGGGCGTCCAGTGAGCTCCAGAGATGCAGACCCATCCTGGGCTCCTGCAGGAGTGCTACTTCCCAGCTTTTCTTGTCACAAGACAGCTTGTTGCAACTTTTGATATTGCCACTTTTTACAGTCATTCCAGGCTCTTTCATTTAGATTTGCCTGACTGGGCTCCTCGTCTTCTTCTGACAAAGGTTTTTCTGATCTATAATTCCATTTGTCCTCCCACCATTATATGTTTCATATATACATGTATTCAAATTTAAAAAATAATATGTTGGTCGTACAATAAACCAAGGGCTACATTCAGGTTTTATTCCAGAAGTGGAGTATTGCCTGTCTGTAACATTCCATTTCCAAAACCTAGCAAATTAGATTCTGCAGGGCCTAATATACTTTCAGGAGCTGATTTAATTTTAATGGGTAACATAAAGCCATCCACATTATTTAAGCTGCCTTTGGGGGTGCAGGACAGAGAGCTAAAACCCAAAGGGCACTAGGAGTAAGGTGGTTATGCTTAGTGATTCCTTGGAGGTGGCAGAGAGAGCAGCAGCAAGCGCTGGGCTGCAGGGCTGTGCATGAAGATCTGCTGGCCTTGACAGACGGCGCATCTGATGCAGAGGGGCTGTCAATCCCCAGCAGCTCTGAGGCGGTGCCTGATTAAACAGGATTTATAGGAGTGAGGTGAATTTCACTCAGATCCCAATTCCTCTACACCTTCCACATCCTTCTCCTTAATGCCACACTGAAATTAGCCTGACGAGGGCTCCAACAGGGTGCTATTGGGTGTCAGAGTGTATTAAGAAGAGTAATGAAGCAGAGAAGGTAACCGAGTTTCTGCTCTGAGCGTGTGGCGTGCTCTGTCGGCACATCTAATCACAAAGGGCCACACTGTGTTCTCATATAACTCCAGGACATTATCTGAGTTATGTTAGGAATCACATCCTTTACTCACAACAAACTGGGAATTTTATCTTGCTCTAATTTGTCCCAGTGTAGACACTAATGAAGGGAACCAGTTTCAGGTCTCATCCAAAGCAGTGCTGTGTCCTATGCTTACAAGCTGCATGGAGAAACAGGATGACAAGAAGCTTTTCCTCCTCTCAGCTGTGCTCCCAGAGAGCGGGAGTTCAGTCTCCCCCCTGTCTCACACATGTGGGTGAAAAGGGGGAGGCTGAATGGGGAATAGGCAAAACCAACACAGGATTAGTTTGTAAATGGTCCTGCATCTCAGCTGTAAAGCACTTAACTGTGTCCTTGTGGACCACTAATGGCTTGGAGACCACAGTCAGAGAGGCACCGAAGTATGGCACAGAACAGTAAGAAGCAGCAGCCTTATCCCCCTTCCCAGGGATTTGAAAGAGGAGATCACAAACTGAAGAAAGGTTTCTGTGTTAGGCATTGCTCAGTATTCAAAGGATAATATGGTGCCAATCTGGCTTGCAACAGGCAACTTCTTTAGTAGAAACCCCATCACAACTTCCACCTTCACTGATGAGCAGCAGTCAGATGGCTCTCGGGGTATTCACTCCAGTTTAATTTAATGCAGTATTGTATGAGAAATGCAATTAGAAGAATGCCTGTTGATATATTGCAGCAGTATCAATGAAAGACCCCCTCTGACTGGGGTCTCATTCCACCTTCTGAAAAGGAAAGTCTGAATGTTTGGGAATTATAAATATTATGGGGGAAACAGCAGAGCAGATTACCTGGCACATGACAGATATATGACTTACTTCTGAATAATGCATGGAAAATAGAATTGATTACTCTTCCATCTGCTTTTCAATGATCAGAATTGGCCATAATTTAAGTTAAATATATCAAGTGAAGATTTAAGTTACCAAGACTTAGTAAGACTGGCATTGTATTAAAAGCTGATTTATTATTTCAACATGTGGAAATTATCAGTTATTCAGCTTGCATAATTAATCAGATGTTAAAACAGGGGTTGAAAAATCTAAGTACAAAATACTGAGTTATCTAGAGAGTCATGATTGATATTAATTTTATAGGGGATCCAGGCAGGAGTAAAAACCCCTCCTTCCCCCACCCCCAGTGCAGACGCCCATCCCCTTCTAGCCCAAGCAGCTGCCCTAACTCTTTGCCACAAGCCTAGCTCTTTGCACAGTATGGATGTTAAACAAAGGGGACAGACAGACAACTTCTGCACTTCTTTCCAACACTGGTGCCAAAGCTGGGGCCCGCTCCTGCCCAGAGCAACAGGCAAGTAGCTGGGCCAGGTAGATTACTGCAGCAGGAAGGCTACAAAAATGATCCGAGGGCTGGAGCACCTCTCCTATGAGGACAGGCTGAGAGAGTTGGGCTTGTTCAGCCTGGAGAAGAGAAAGCTGTGGGGAGACCTGATTGCAGCCTTTCAGTACTTAAAGGGGGCCTATAGGAAAGATGGGGACAATCTTTTTAGCAGGGCCAGCTGTGACAGGACAAGGGGTAATGGTTTTAAACTACAACAGGATAGGTTTAGACTGGATATAAGGAAGAAATTTTTTACAATGAGGGTGGTGAAACACTGGAACGGGTTGCCCAGAGAGGTAGTGGAGGCCCCATGCCTGGAAACATTCAAGGTTGGGGTTGGACGGGGCTCTGAGCAACCTGATCTGGTTGAAGATGTCCCTGCTCATTGCAGAGGCGTTGGGCTAGATGACCTCTAAAGGTCCCTGCCAACCCAAAGCATTCTGTGGTTCTATGCTCAGCAAAGGCAATGAGGAGGCTGTGTCAGGCACTGGAGGTGGGCCAAGGGATGAGAGGGGGAATGGCACGGAGCATGCACTGTCTTCAGGCCAAGGCGACCACAGGACAATCAATAATACAAGGGAATAAGCGCAAGACCTCTTTGGGGGAAACTGGAGGCAGCACATCTTCCAGGGAGAGAAAAACACCCTCGCAGTGATTGAGGGCTTGAGATGGGAAGTGAGTGAGAGCCTACAGCCTGAGGACATGTTGCACTTGGAAGGGGATTCTTCAACATCTTTAAGATGATACTAACAGCAGTGTAACAGCTGGACAAATAAGAGCCTGGGGTAAGAGGAAATTAATATAAAAATCAGCTCAGGTACAAGAGGGTTGGGTTAAAGCTGAAATGTAACTAGCAAAGCTCCAGCTGCAAAACCAGATCAAGGAAGAGAAAGACGGTGAATCATATAGAAATAGGAGGGATCGAGGAGATGCCTGTTGACTTTAGCGTGGCTCACAATAAAATACAAGCATTAAAGGTAAAGTTCTCCAATCTGAAATCACAGATTGCTGATAGGCAAAAAGGAGGGTAGAGACTGCAACTCTACTCCTGCTGTACTTTCAGTGCTCCCAGATTCACTTTGCTACAGAAAGAAGGAGAGTATGAGGCACTGAGATATTTTTATCTCTTTGGATCTAACAGTAATTTTTCACCCATGCACCTCTGAGCTATTGAACTGTGATTAGCAGTGACTGATACTGGAGGAAGTCCGTGTCTGAAACGCTGAGCAAGAGTGACCCATCACCATACTCAGCTGCAGCCCGGGGAAACACCACCGCTAGAAAAAGCAGTGAGGAGTATCCAAAGGCATGAGGTCCAGTCAGAACAGAAGGGGGAGACACACAGCAGGTTTGGGGGAAGCAAGGGAGGGGGACAGGGAAGAAACAGTTCACAGTACTGGCCTGTTTCAAGGTCTCCAGTGCTTGAGGAAACATATCTTGACTGTACTGCAGTTTGCCGACTCGCATCAGCTGGACAGCCCTCAGCGGATGGAAACCAGGATAATACAGGCTGCGGAGAAAAAGGAGGAAAATGTGTCACTGTCAGCTCTCACCTTCACAGTCACTGCCTCTGTGGAGAGCTATTAGGGTGGGACTGCAAAGTCATTGTGAATGTTAATAAGGTACTCAGAGAAAATTAGCTGCACTACTGAGAAGCATGAAATACTGAGGGGAATTAGCAAATTATTACTCTCCATCTCAGAGGAATGCCTTTAACATTATCCTGTTAGAAAGCGACGAGAGTGGGATTATTTAATTCGCTACTGTTAGATAACACAATAGCATTTACTGTACTTAGTGTTGCAAACAGAGGTCGTTCACAATCCCAGGTCTCTGGAGAGGCATAATTTTAAGAGGAAGCCTCAGCAGGGAACTCAGTCCTGGATCCTCCAGGATGAAGGAGAGGGACTGCAGGGAAAGCGGGTACGTAACACGGAGGCCACCATTTCTGAGGGTTTGCTTGCTGCTCTCTGTTGCAGAAAGAACCAGTGCTGCACGTTCAAGGAAACATCTCAGACTTGGCTTGTGCATCTAGACAAGGTATCTGCTTGTGTGAGGATACACTCCTGTTCTTACTCAATTAATTTCACAGAAGCAGAGGTTTTCCGTCAATCTCACTGGAGTTAATGAAAAGAGAACTATGCTCTCTTTTTTTTCTAGGAAGTAGATGGAGAGCAATGCCATCATTAATTCCTCTCAAGAGGCTCCTGAAATTTCCGTGCTTTCATGATGACTACTCTGCATTTCCAAAACCTGCCAGCCTTTGGCTCACAAGACCTGGATCCCACCCCAGCCCTGTGTCCTGGATGTGGAGAGCAAGGGGACTGCAGAAAGTCATGGACGTGACTTGCCTGGAACTGGCCAGTAGGAAACATGAGGTGAAGGGACACACCTGGAAGTTTTCACCTGCAAAAGATCTTAGATCTATTTTGACTGACTACACAAATGAAAGAATAAAAGCCTTAAGCACAACTCACCAAAGACAAACGTCCTATTTGATCAAACAGCATTTTATTTCCTCAAGTACACCAGCAGTGTGCTTGAGGAGTAAAAATACAAAATTTGTCACAACTGAAGAAAGAAGAGCCAACAAGCTTCTCAAAATCTACTCTTCAAAGAATTTGTTTTTGTGTTTACGCCAAGCCTGTGATCATCAGACTTCAGGGGAATTACTAATGAATGATACCACTGCAGTCAGAAGGACACTTAACTCTACATGGGTATGATTAAATGCATGCGAAGACACTAAATGATGTATATTTGTACAATGTATAGGAACCTTTGGATAAGTCTGCATGCAAATCAATGAGTTATTTTTCCCTATTATTTTTCACTAATGAAAATGCAAACACGGTTAAATACAGGTAATTGTTTAAATGGCAGCGCATCTGGCTGTCCTTACAAATCTCAAATGAAGATGTGTAAACACCATGGAAAATGTTTCACACCCAAACACCCCTTTTCTGCTGATCCTGTGCAGTTTCAGTGAAGACACATAGAAACATGTGGGAAAGTGTGCCTGGCAGGATCTCAGGAGCCACAGCTCCTGCCAAAGCCTCTCAGGAAGCAGCAGAAACCAACTCCTCAATGACAATAATCCATCCTGAATTGCCACCAGCACCACCTGTTCAGACCCCTTGTGTGTTGCAGTTCAAGAAGGCTGAAGAGCCAGCAGACAAGAGAGAAGAAAAATGATAGCACTTATCTCAGTCCAAACTGACCACTCAGGAACTTCAAGGATCCAGTTAAATAAACACTGGAAAATTATCAGTAGATTTATTTTTAGATTTTGTTTCTGGTTATTATATAAATGAACATGGTGCTATCTGCTACCAGTTAAATAGGGAGAAAAAGCAACTAAGAGATTTTTGTGTGGATTATTGAGGAGTAATAGAAACTGCAGTGCTAACATGCACAAATAGGAGTAGGGAGCACATGCACAGCTTTGTAAAAACTGCAAAAAAATGATGCCTATATGATTGCGTACTTCCACCCTCATCTGTGACTGCTGCAAAGGAAGGAGTAAAAAGGTCATTCCCTCTCCTCTGGGCCACCAAAATGCCAAGATGCCTGGGTCCATGGCCACAGGAGAAGGAGTCAGGGAGATAAAGGCTTTTGCATGAAATGATAACTCATCTTTGCAGTCCCCACTAGACTGTCTCTGCTGTATCCTAACAGCCCTGATTCTTCTCCCACTGCTCCTTCACAGCCTCTTCACATCTCCTTCATTCCACACCTTTACCTTTCATCCTTCCAATCATCTTTTTGATGCCTCTCCTCTTCCTCTCCTTCCTGAATAACCAGCCCCATCCAAAATACCAACAAAACAGGGAACTTGGGTCCTGCCTGTCCTGCGGCCGCTGCAGGGATGGCAGCTCACGTGGACAAACCCAGGCTATGCTTTAGGTCAGCAACGTGGCGCCTGCTAAACTCCACATGGGCCCATCAGAATTCAGAATCTGCCCCTCCGTACAGGTTTCTTTCTGTAGATCATACATTCACCTGCAGTCAATGAAGATTTAGGATTGTGGTATACACAATACCAGAGAAAACAGGCAGCAATTTAGCAATGTCAGGTACGCAGCCCAGGCTACCAGCCATAAATTAAAGCAAGTGAAAATTTAAGATGAGGACACAGAAGGATTAAGTTTGAAACAAAGAGCCCTGTGCTCATAAATATTTACAAAGCTGATTTACGGAGCTGATTTATGCTCTGATCTTATGCATGTACATAGTTACATTTTGCAAGCCTTAACATTGACATTTGAAACAACTGTTTATTATCATATTCTGGAATAAATCTATTAAACTAGTTGAACACCTTTTGTGGAATTGAGTGAGTTTACTAGAGAAAACCAGGCAGCTTGCAGCTCTTCTGGGAGATGTGTAAGTGGAAAAAAAGCTGCTGGCTTCTTCCAGGCATCCCTAGGATTCAGTATTATGAAAAACTGGCATGGTAGAAAGAACTAAGATGCAGTGTCAGGTACTTGTGAGCCAATTTATTATCCCCACGCATTGCTCTGAACAAAACAGAGTGGATAAATCTAAGAATAAGGAAGACATTTACCAGCCAAAGAACTGATACCTGAAGACTGTCAACAAGAGACCAAGACAACTATAGAGAAATACATGCTGCAAAACATGTTACAGCTTGGGAAGAGTAGGATTTCAATCTGAAAAGGATTTGATGAGATTTATCAAGGCCTGAGGGACAGGCAGGGGAACAGTAACATACTGAAAGCTGAAATAAAGATAGTTCTGTGGAGCGATGTTTCCTGGCCCGTGGCACTGGTCAATGCCCAGTAGTCCACTTGCAAAGAGAGATTAAACAGAATACAACAACTAACAAGTAAGGCTGTGCTGTAAACAAGAGGACTGGAGGAGGCTGAGAAAGAGCTGTACGTTTTGTATCACAGCCTCTGCTTGTGTAAGACAGCACAGCTTTGTTCCCATCTGTGACCAACAGCATCCATGCTGGCCTGTCTCTCTAGCCTGCCCTCCTGCCTATTGACTGGTCCCCCCAGTGTGGTGTCATCTGCAAACCCCACAGACATGCCTTCCCTTGCCTCCTCTGGGCTGTTGATAAAGATGTTAAACAGCATGGGTCCCAGGACAGACCCCCGTGACACCCCACTGCTCCTGTCATCCAAACAGTGCACGACCCAACAGCCATGACCCATACTCTGTAAAGCTGCTCCTAATATACCGTGAGATCGATAGCTCCTATTTGTAATTCAGCCACAAGGTTTGCCTTGATTAACCCCCAGAGAAGCCACTGATCATATACTTCATAAAGAAAAAAAAAAAATTTTTCTTTGTTCTATATATCAGCTTTGAATCTCTTCAAGAAATCCCTTGTGTTCTCATGTAAAGGACAATGTGAAAAAGACAACCCTTGACAAATTTTAGCCAGTTCCTTCTATTTCCTTATACTGTAGTTCCATTAATTCCAGTTGACTTATGTCCCGTTACAAGGTAAATAAACAGAGCTTTTGTGTTCTTTTGTGAATTAAAGTCTAGTATTAAAAAAAAGACACTGCAAAATCAATGCCTTTTCTGATGCCTCATATTTTAAAATAAATGGACGCCTACCATTCCCTGTAAATCAGTCTGTGGGGTTAACATTTATACTGTTGTCTTCAGCCTGATGTAATTATAAGCAGGCAGGATTTATAAAATCTCAAATAAGGCTTTAAAATGGAAATGCTACAAGGCTCTTTAATATGGTGACATGTAAAAAGTGATGCTATACATAGCTGTAAATTGGTTTGCAGTACCTTTTAGTGCAAGTAAATATGACAGCATAAAAGACATAAAGCAGTTTTAGAAGCTGCAGCAACAGAGAAGGAATTAAGAGGAGGCTCCTGGGCATCGGGAAAGGTGGTGAGCAGAATGTAAAGGGGACAGCATCAGCCTCATGACAGAAACACACTCACTACAGCTGGTGAGAACGCGCACCACAAATACAGCACCCAGTAAGTTCAACCTTTTCTTTCTCTGATTTATTCTTGATTTCTGAACTGCTCAGTATTTGAATACATTCATTAAAGTTGTTCACTGAACTGCAGCCCAGGAAATATTTTTATGTCATCCAGTTATTTGTTTTTTCATTACTCAGTGATGTGAGACTGGTCATCTAATTCGCATTATATTATTTCTGCTCCTTGACTGGGATGATCAATGGGTTCTAAATATGGGAATTACAAGAAACATTTTTAGGACAAATTTAAGGACAAATTATTATTTGAGCTAAAACGTATGAAACATTTGGTATCTATCAACATTTCCGGGGAGGATCCAGTTATTTTATGAATAGTCAACGAAATCGTATGTCTCAGGAGCATAAGACAGGTAAACTAACTGTGATCATTTAGGAGCTCACAGATCTTAAGGCCAAAGGGACTGTGCTGCAACTGTTCAATCTCTACACAGAATTTCACCTAGCAAATCCCACTCAAAAACCAGCAATTTGAAGCCAAAATAGTGCTTAGCAATGCTCTATTTATAGAA